GTTTGCTGTTAGCTTTTCTTTTATCTAATTGTGTGCAACAGAGAATTAAAGTGCTGCTAAAAGCGTACCTTTTTCCTTTAAGCACTCCAAACATTGGAAACCTGCCTTCTTTTAGGCAGTTTGCGTTAGGAAGGAAAGAAGTTGGTTATGTAGAAAAGCAACATCAAAAAACATTTCTGCATGAGAAATATACTGCACGTAGACAGTGGGCATCAATGTAGCATATTTGCATCTCGAATTTGGCAAGCTTTAAACTTTCTTTCAACCAAGTTTAAGAAAAATGACATTCATGTAGTTTTTGGTATTCTACTTATGATACAAGTGAGCTGACTGTAGTGTACAGACCAGTCATGTGTGCAACACTGCTGAGTTTAACTTGATGAAAGTTTTCACCCATCGGGGTTTTGTGTGCCGTGACAGAGAAAGGGAGAGCGGGGCGACCAGGGGGAGCCAGGGCAGAGAGAAACAGAGCAAGGATGACCGTGCATTCCAGCTGTAGGGGTCAATGCTATAAATAGGCTTGTGGCAGATGCATGAAGAGAGAGCTTCAAGAGCATGCTCTGTGTCTCACAATGACCCCTCCAGCTTGAGAACGTCTGCATGATGCATAACACAGACTGGCTGCACATTTTTGTTTGTTGCATGCAAAAGAGAAGCAGGTTTCTCACTGATCTCCCCAGGAAGGATGCTAAAACCTTTTTATCACTATGGCCTGTTCTTATCTGTATGATATAGCTTTAAAGTTTAATGGTCAAGCCCACATTTAAAATCATATTTGTTTGTTTTTTAGTAGCGACAATTAAAATGTGCGATCTGATTAACACAAGCAAAATATTTTGAATTGCAATTTTCTGCAAGAAACATGTAAGAATCTAAAATTTACAGATCATTGTGAAACCATGAGAATCTCAGAACATCTGTGTAGAATTCCAAGGAATATTTAATATCAAGTAATTTGCCTACCTTTAAAGGAAGACAAGATCAGAAAAATAACCAAAAACTCTACAGTGTACACCAAGCTTTTATTGCATTTTTCTTCTTTGCCAGAGCAGAGGAATGAGCTTGTTTCCTCTGTGAGCAGAGTGGTGAGGACAAACCTTCAGGCACTCCATCTGGAGACAGATGTGCCCTTGTCCTCTCAGACGGCTTGTTAGGAGTCATAAAGCAAAACTATTGATGTGGCGAGAAGGGTGATATAATTGCAAAAAATTGAAAGCTAAATATTGGCTTTATCTCTTCAGTAATAAAGCGCCATGAAATTGATTTTAATGCTGCAGCACCTCTCTTGGGCAGCTTCTTATGATGCGAATACAAAACAATGAGCCACAGAGATCTGCTAATTAACTCATCTAATCCTTAAAAGTTCATCTTTTTCAAGAACTTTGCCAGTCAGTAAGTACGAAAGCTCTTTGTTATTACCAGGGGAAGGAAAGACACTGTGTGAAAACAAGGGATTGTGCTCAGCTGCTGCAGGAAAGGGCATTTTCTCTGCAGTAATGATGACAGCTGTTTATTAAGATGCAGGGATATGTGGATGACTAGTTAACATTTACTCACAAAATGAATTGCTTGATTTTATCTTTTCACTTCCAGTGATTGAGGGTTGCTACAACAGTAATAATATAATGAGCATCAAAAGTAACATATCACACTATTAATGCATGAATGTTCTTGGAAAAATAAAACATACAGATTACATGTTTTTGGAATCATTTTGTCTTCTTGATCATATAGTGTATGACTGACTGTAATACACTTAGGTGACTTTGTTGCGTAATAACTAAGTCATCTCATTAGCAGGAGATTTGACTGGGTACAGCTTATGAGGTGATTTAACCTGTTGAATGTCAAGCCTGATGAAAAGCAAAAAAGTAAAACATACTTTTTTGCAATATGTTGCTACAACGAAAATTAATTATATAGCAGTTGACTATTATACAGGAGTGGTAGGCACAGTGATCACAGTAGAAAATACAAACTCCCAATGAGGTAAAATAAAACTTCAGGGGTCCCAGGCCCAATGGTCGCCCCCCCACCACCAAGCAATATGTTTTGTGGTACAATAATTCTGATAAATCACAGACAATCGCTGCGCTCAAATCTTCCTGCTGCCCTGGGTCTGTTGTCAGAATTATGTGTGAAATAGCTGTGGTTTCCTGGCTCCTGGATTTACCTTCGTGGGCCTATTATATGTCCTGATGGACTGTGTGCTCTGCATCCAATGCTTGGATCCAGACATTGGGAATAATAAATATAGAAAAATCGTGTAAGAGTGACTAGGTGAAGGAGGTAAATATCAGTATGTAACACACTCTGAACATCAGATGAGCTATTATACTATAGGCTAAAGAAATAGGTCTTGAATCTTTAAAGGCTGAGGTCATATGGGCATCTCTTATGTGTTTTTGGAGGTCATTCTACCGTTTAGGGCTCAGTTTGTTTTTTCTAATGATTTTGAATAAGCTGAAGTCTTGATGTAGTGCCAATGCCATCTAGCAAAAGCTTTCTCGTAAGGTGTCATTGTGACATTTTTCCTGTTCTCCAATGAGCCCCATTGAATATGTGTGGGGTGAGCTCGGATGACGTATAGTGTCTAGGGCTCAGAGACTAGTGAACAGGCACAGGCCTGTCCAGCCTTTACGGGAGGAATTGCACAGCATCCCACAGGACTGTATCTGCCACTTGGTGCAGAGCACGAGTTGAGGATACACAGCTTGTATTGCTTACAGTGATGGCCGTACATACAGTACCCATAGCCTGTCAGCCCCATTTTGATCAGCCTCGTTGATGTTAAGAATATTGAATTTACCCACGTCGTGTGTATTTAATAAAACGTTAATGCATCTCGAACGAAAAAGATGGTCATTTTCCTTGCAATAACTTTGTGAGTGCAATGATAAGTGATAAGTCTATTTTGATTTTCAGTATATTAGTGTGGTATGAAAATTGGCCTGTTTTACTGTTGTGCTTTGTTCTTCTGTTCTTTATCTGCTACTTCCTGACATAAGTCTTTCACATCTATATACTTATTTTGAAGAGTTCTGTACGTGTTCAAATTATGCAGACAAAAGATACTTAATCAGATATGTTCTATTAATTTTTAAAAATCCTGATGAGAAAATTCTAAATGGTCATGGATGGATGATGAGCAAAAAAATACTGGTAACAAAAATGAATTTGATTTTGATCAATATGGCATATAATGTAGAAGTTATGTTGTCTTCTTCCCAGTGTGTCACCTCTTGTAGTCAATATTTGCTTGCAGCTCTTTTCTTGGAGTATTCTCTAAGTATTTTTCAAACTGTAAGGACTGGTACATTTTGTGGCACATAGCTGAACCTTTTCTTTTAAACTGTGGGAATGCGTTATTAAAAATATATCATTAATGCTACTGCTCCTGTCCCAGGTGGACATGTTACAGGAGGACATGTGGTCATGTTAGCAGGCGTTGTGGCCGTGAGGGTGTCCATTCTCAGCAGGTCCACAAAAGTAACAAGTTCACTATATTCTACCAGTTGTCGCCACTTTTTTTTGTTTTCTACATTCTTTCATCCTTCTTGATGGGGCTCTGAGGGAGTATTCTCACACCGCGGAGGGTCACTGAATGGACTGCTTTGGTACAGCTTCACTGAATTCCTACGCACACTCTGCCAAGGTGGCAAGAAAGAAGCCTTTGTTCCGTCCTGTTTCGTGGGTTGGAACCTGTTTGGTACTTCTTTTAGTGTCGTCATGGAGACTCCCTTTTGTCTTTTCTTGGATTAGACTCTTTAGAATCCTCTGGCTCTGTAGGCTTTGAGGCTGTGTAGAGTTTATTCCTCAGACACTTGCACCTCTTAATAATATAGGCAACAACTGCTTTGCTTTCTTTTCTATTTCCTATGTACAGTAGTTTATTTTTTATAATTTTATCCTTATACATACAGTACATATGCACATACTGTAGACAGATATCTGTTCATAAGAGACATTGATAAAGTACATTCAAAATGATCTGTTGTAGTTTATTTTGAGATTATGTCCACTAGTTTATTTCCAACTGGGGGGAAGTTCCCATCTTGTTTCAAAAGAAATGAGTACATTTGCATTGCATCAGAGCCAGCTGTCCAATGCTTGGATTGTTCTTCCGTTTCAATCTTTAGTGTGCAAGCAGGGAAATTACAGGTAAACCAAATTCACAATGATGCGATATCATCATTTGTGATGATGCCAGTGTGTCTTCTAAGCTAAATAAAAAAAATATAATATGTTACAGTGTTAAGATCTGAACATCACTGCTTTCTGAAGAAAGAATTAAATCCTTCCCTGAATTTGTTTATGTTGTCCCTCACTGTGTAGGCAACACTGTGGAATATGGCTTCCTCATGTATTTGTGTTTGACAAAACCTGTGAGCATCCCACTGTCCTTGGTAAAATATAATTGATCGCACAGACTAGGAAATGTTGTATTATATTTGTTGTCACAGAATGGGCAGGCATTTGAAAGTAATTACTGTAAATAGTAGAGTAACAGTTTTTAAATAATAAAGAAACACAAATAAAAAACGACAAGAGAGCTAATGGGGGTGTTTTCTGGCAGAGTGTTTTCATTATTGAAATGTTCATATCAGCACCAAAATGATTTGCAGCTTTCATTAATATATAACTTCTGAAAAAAGCTATTTGCACAGTGGGTGGGAGAGGGAAAAGTCTTCATCTACATCAAAAACTAATACTAGAAAAGCGCATAATTATGTGGAATCCTCATGTCTCAATAGTACCATCTGCCAGTGTCAGGATTTCATTGTCTGAATTTAGGGTTTACGTCTGGCCTAGACATTGTTTAGTCAAAGATGTGTTTTAATTAGAAACCCAGTGGGTAATTGTATTTGTAATGATGTTGCAGACAGAGTGTTTTGATTTATTTTCTTTTATGATATTATGATGCAGGTATGCTGATAATCTAGTCAGAGAAACTGAGTTTTTTACTCTTAATAACAGGCCCTGTTTTCCCCCTCAAACAGCACTATTGCCGTATCTAAATGCAAGTATGTTGTTTCCTTTTTTATAATTCATCTTTTTCTAATGTAGTGGCTGTGTGGTGTGTTTTTGTAGATTTCTAATGGCCTTTGTGCTTCTAGCATAGGAATGCTAGGTGTAGACATTTTGGCTTGTATTTCTGCTTCTCAGTGTTATACTCTTTTGTCTCCTGTTGTCTTTTGTTGTAAGCTTCTTTAGTTTCTACCATAGAATTTTGAACCATTATAGACCCTTCTCTTGTGATCAAAGCCTTGCAGGAGTTTCACATTCAGGTACGTTCTAGGAACTGTTACAAAAACACATTCTTCTTTCTCTCCAATGCCCTCTTGAAAATGCTTGCCAGGCACTAAACTATAGAAAGGTCACATTTCGTCCTTACAGCAGGCAGGATCCCAAGACGTATTGTAATGGTTCAAAGATTTCATAACTGTATGCTTTCAGTGATCACATGGATTAAAAAAAACTGAGGGGCAGAGGGGGAGTCCTGGGAGTCCTGTAGCTTTTTCTGAAGAGTCATGCAGCTAATCCTGAGATATCTGGCATGCATGTTAATTGTCGGACTTGGCTGATGCCTTGAATTAGCTGATATTAGCTATTTGTACTACAACTAAAGAATAAACACACAATGAGAGAGGTGCCATTAATGTAATGCACCTTGCAAATTGAAAGGTGGAGAACCATGTTATTTTGCTCCCAAATACAGCTGTGGAGCCATGCCTTTATTTTAGGATTTTTAAAGTGCTGACATTACAGCATTCTTTAACTGGAATGACTGCTGTTCTATTTTATGTATTAATTATTATTTTAGTATTAATTTAGTAGCTTTCCCACTTCATTAAAATCTCAAGTCTGCACTTCAGCCTGGTTTATGGAAAATTTTTAATTGAAACAATTAACAGCACTTTAGTTATTATTCTCAGCCCCTTAGAATCTTATAAAAGACTTATCAAGATTATTGACGAGTTACAAATGTCACAAAAATAAATTATTTAATTAGCACAATTCAAATGTCAATGAAATCGGATAAGACATAGTATTTATTAAGCAATCCTGCTACACACATAAATCACTACATTGCTCCAAAGACCAGTCCTGTTAACTTTCTTCAGCATTCAGCTCCGAGCCCCATATTGCTGAAAGGCCGTAAAGAGCACTCCGTAACAAGCAATTAATCCTTGATTCCAAGTGCCATAAAGCTGAGCTGAAATGGGGTGCTTGGTAAGGCTGGTTCACCCAACCCTGCGCAATGTATCCCCACAAATCATCCATTTTCCCCAGGGGCAATCACTCTGTCAGACAGCAGCCGGCATTTACAGTGCCGATAGTCTAAATTATCATCTAGATTGATTGAGTTACGAAGCATAACTTCCACCACAGCGACTGCAAATGATTCGGTTTCTTGACTTTATGAGCTCTGCGCATGAAGACAACGAGATGAGTGGCGGTTGACTTAAGTGGACTACAGTGTACGAAAGTGTGTCGCATTTTCCATTGTTTTTCTGGGCCTGGTGGTAGTGATACTTCAGGTTAACCCTTTCCCGATTATTCCATGCAAGCTGAAGGAACCTTTCCTTCCTGCGGAGCTGCCTGTTCCATGGGCTGGCATTGCTCCTGCAAAGCTAGAAAAATTGCAGCATGCATAGATTAACACTTTTTTTTAAGTGCAAAGACTAACGCTTCATTTTATAACTAGTATGAAAGTTATTAATGTTCAGCCGACGCTTTGAGGTGTCTGTGACAAGGCTTTAATTAAACCTTTTTGCTTTCACGGATTCACTGTGATAAAGATTGAGGGCTTCCCCATCAGCGTTTCTTGGTTTATTATAATACTTCAGAATGTTAATTCTGTGCAGATTCCCTGAGCCATCATAGACTAATAAACAAACCTCTTAGTACAAGTACAAATAATCAACATAAAATACTAACTCTACATGATCCTGGCTTATTTATTTTTTATTTAATTGTCTAAGAAAGTATCTTTAGGGAAAAAAACAATGAATAAATGCATAAAAATGCGTAATTTTAACTCTGGAACATGAAGCTGTCTAATCTTAGAACGGGCAATGGTGCTGCTCTTATAATGCACATATGAGACTACAGAGTCTTCAATATAGTGATGACAAATACATTTTCCTTTATCCTGGGATTTAAAAATTATGCAAAGCCCCTGGAAGTTTGTCAATGGCAGACTGTTGCTATTTAAAGAATGTTTTTCCAATGGTAAAATACCACCCAAAGACAAATCAGCCCTTTTCCCAGCTATCTGTTGCCGTGGTGTGAAAATTTATTCCCCAATTAAAACAGAAGGAAGTGCAGAATGGGAAAAAAAAGAAAATCATCTAGCTCAACCAAACAGCCCTGTTAACTCGATTAACCAGCGCAGAAACCCCATGCAGATTAAAATGATGGTGAGCGTTTAAAGAAATCCTAATGACTTAATTTCACTAAATGAGCATGCCAGCCCCTTGTCACATCCAAGGAAACAGACCCAGCCCAGCCCCCGGCAAGGAGCTCTGTATGTGTACATGTCTAATTGGGAAGTGAAGGCACAATGCAATTACTGTAGCTGTAAAAACGTCACGAACAGCCGCTGCAGGCTTGAGACAGACTTATGGTGAGCCAGGGAGTCGATCAGTGGTGTGGCATTTTATATGGTGCCTCTCTACAAGCCATCCACCCTGTGGGTCAGCAGGATGGCAACCACAGCCGAACCAGTTCTCTCCCGCTGACAGTCACCTCACGGCACAGCACTACTGCTTCTGTCTCCCGAGAATCTGGATCTCAAAAACACTTGGGCCTGGTTATCTGAATGTAGCCCCCTCTCGGCATTGATGCCTTACATTCTGGTACAGAAGAGATCATCTGTAAACACAATCACATACCTCTCTCCCAAAACAAGCTATGGAAATCTCTAGTTACATATAAGAGATAATATTTAGAAGTTTCTCGTTTGAAGATGCAATTATCCCAGCAGAGCAGTAGTGCTTATAGTTTTAATCACAGATAGTGTATTAAGACTCGTTCTTATGTACACTACATGGAACAAAGTTCACTTTGTACACAAGGCAAAGTACTTAATCCTCTGAACAATCTCAGTTTTCAATACAGCTGCTTCCCTGATTGCCTTGTCAGCGGTGCGGTCTCAGCGAGGGGTGTTTTTTCTGAAGTGCTGTCTCAGTGGGAGCCCAGGAAGTCAGGATCTTTGGAGCCAGGCACCTCTGCCCAGGCCTGTGATGCAGAATGATCCTCAGGCCAGCACCTGTTCGTGCCATGTCTTCCCAGCTCTGTCACGCAGTCTCCCTGTGACCCCTGTGCTCTTCCCGCAGGCTTCCCGGCGACGGCGTACGGACCGGTGGCGGCAGCGGCGGTGGCGGCAGCACGTGGCTCAGGTAGGGGGGCCCGTGGAAGAGGCGGCTACATGGCATACCCGCAGAACGCAGGGGCAGGTAAACGCTCTGTTGGTATTCTGTGTGGCTGCAGCTCTCCATACTCTTACAGCCGCCTCTTTGTTTTCTTCACATGTTGTACACATGGGGCGCCTGAGCACAGACTACAAGCAGGGACCGGGGGCTAGCGGCACCAGCCGGGGCACGCTCTGGACTGCTGCCTCGGGGGTGCAGAACAAGCTGGGCTCTTTAATCCGCTCTTTGCCGTTTCCGTACTCTAGAACAGTCATGTCGTCAGAGGGGAGTGGCAGGGCGTTTATTTCGACGTGAAGGTTTTTATTTCTCATGTTCGGTCTCTCTGTGCTGTTTCTTAACAGTGTCAGGCCCTCACTACAAACACGCAGATGTCGCATTCTTCAAGAGCTCATTGATTTTGCTCATCAGAGTAACAGCTACAACTTTATCAATTTTAATTAAATTAATATAGTAATGAATAATAACTGCTGAGCCCAAAATTGGCAGGTTTCATTGTAATTTCAGGGAAATAACTGTCTTTCGTAATTGGCCTTTTAAAACTCGACTCTGTGCATACTATACAAACGAGCTTCAATCAAAGCAAGAGTGCCTTTGTTTAAATTTGCTGTATCATGTCAAACACTTAAACGTTTATAAGTTTAAAAGCATCTGCTGTCTTCACAGTGGGAGGGTCACGGTGTTGATACCTGCCCCACTCCAACAGCACAATAAACATCTGCTACTCTTGTGAAAGTTTTTACTGCGGTAAGGAAGAACAGTATTTAGATCTGCGGCTTTTCAGAGCCAGGTTTGACTAAGATACTCCAGGCTGACATGAGAAATCAAAATCTGTGCCAGTGCTTGTACTGGGTGTAAAAGTGCAGATGGGGAGAGGGACACAAGTCTGTCCTGGAGAGGGCAAAGCGGGGTATCTGAAGAAAACAGGAGTCTGAAACAATAAAACAGTCACAGCTCTCTGTCATGAGTGATCTAATCAGATCTAAATTAAATTTTGGGAATGCTTGGGGTCAAAATATTTTAGAATTTCTCTGGGAATTCATCCATGTTTACCCAATGCTTCTGCAGTGAAAAATGCTTGGTTTTCTAATTTAATTTAAAACACATCTGCTTTTCAATACGCAATAGAGATTTAATTTCCTTTTTCAGAGCAAATGCATGATTTTTATTTACTTTAGAAGAACAGTACTATATGAAAACAAAATGTGCTGTTGTGGTTTGGAATATCTTATAATATCCATCCAAAATATTTTTTCACTTATATATAGTTATCACTTATTTCACTTAAATATAGTTTTCAACTTTAAATGTATATCTAATCTAATTCCAATATCGGGCCTTTTAATGACAAATCCCAAAGGAAAGTAAATCACTAAAGAGTAAATCTGTGATTACATCAAAGATAACTGGAAGAAACTAGTTTTGGTCTCTCCCCTTCGGTCTGCCACCTGATATTTAAGTCAGCATTTTCAGAATCCCCCTCACCCTTCACCATAATTTAGGGTTTAAGGCGGCTGAGCACATCTGTACTGGTGACTGAAAAGCCCTAAAAAAACTGGACAAGTTTTGGACAAGACTGGACTGGCATGTTAGAAGGTGGTGGGATCACTAGTACAGAAATGTGAACAAGAAGGATAGATGGAAATGTCTTTCCTACTCCGTACAGCACAATTACACTCTGTGATCTGTGATGGGGCTTAATGTTAGCTTTACTCACCCCTTTCTTTTAAAACAGTCCCTGTGCTATTTCCAAATTCATCCTTCAAAGTGTCTGTTGCTGACAAATATCACTTAAAACAGACACAAATTTGTTACCCTGTAAAGTGCCAGATGAGAGCGCTTACAGTATTTTTTTGAGAAGGCATTTTTGTTTTCATTTTGGGGTTCAATACAGTCACCAACAACTCATCTTATAGCAAACATTTGTGTCCATTCTCCACTTTCTCTCTGCGCAAACACAAAATATAACATGTGGCAGGCTACATATAGTTTGCCACAGGTTCCATGTTACATTATTACATACTGTAGGTCTTCTGTCTTAATACAATACAAGTGTCAACATAAGCTTTTTTGGATAATGGCTTCTAAAGGGCCAATATGAATGAAATACAGCTGCACTGATATTTATTTCCTGAAAAAGCCACAATAACTGAAAAGTTTACCATAAGTTGTGGTGACTAACGGTCTCACATGTGAAGTAAAATAAATGCTACATTTTATGTAACCTTGCTCACAAATCAAATTTGACAAGAATGCACAGTGATGTATTCTGACTTTATATTGCCACAGGGATTGTGTGTACCACTGTGTAGGAAACTTGAGTTCAAGAAGCTTCCGATCATTTTCCATCTGAAAGTGAAAGTTAGCTTTCAAATTATTGTTTTCTAGAATATAATATACTTCAAATTTTGTAATATACAGTATTTTAACAGTCACTTCATACATAATTACAAAATACTTAAACTAATGCCTTATGAGTTTGTAGAAACCTGTAGAGCTAACTTCTGTAATTGGTATTGCCAAGCCTGGGCTGTACCGAAGAAGTTGCCAGATTTTATCCCCTTTACGTTTTGGGAGCGTTCACTTGAGAAATGGCTGAGCCTCGTACAGTACACTATGTGAGTGCAGTTGGGCTTAGCTCTTTCTGCGTTCCCACGAGACTGTCATGTATATAACCTGCAGTGCAAAAGTCTATGAGAAAGAGCGTCTTCTTGCCTTGTCAGTTTTTCCATTTTATTATTTTTGCCATAATTCTCTGCAGAAACATTTAAAGACTTTTCTGAAGTATTTTTCGTTTAGGGATAAATGTTCATTATTGTTTTTTGGGGTTTTGTAGTTCTCAACTAAAAACTAATTCACTTTATATTTAATAAACTAGGATGTGACAAATGGCTACGTAATGCTTTATGAATTAGCAATAAAAACTGATAAATCTTTTTTTTATTGAAATAGTCATTAAGTGTCCCAGTTACGCAAAACATGGAAACGGAGAGGATCACTCATGACTGTAAAGTACAAAGATTTAAATCCATCTGTTTCTTGGGAGGTGGGTAGGCATCGGATTTAGGGAAAGGGTGCAGAAGATGGGATATGTGGGTCTGTGTCTTTTTCAGTTTAGGTTTGATCTTAAAAATACGTTCTAATAACATCTGACATTTTTTTTTCTCTTTTCTTAACATGATGACAAGTGTAACAGCAATTTCAGTATTAAAGGATGAGAAAAAACTAGCTGTCAGCGAAAACATTTTCAATATCCGTTCCATGCAAACTGGCACTGCTTGCAGAGCTACAAAGGACCCCTTTCTCAGATCAAGTGTTTTTCATTTCTGTGGCATGCTGGGCATCAAGGGGTGACTGGCCAGTGCCTGTCTGTGCTCAAGCCACTGCATGTTCGCAAACAGGCCTCTCCACCCAGACTAGTAAACATGGATTTCAAGTTTCTTTATAGGCCTTAGAGCCCCAGTGTAAGGTTGTGCTCATATATAGACAAGAAATGTTCCACCCATGGTGACAGATCCCAGCTCTCAAGAGAAACCAAAACGTGATGTACTTGGCATTTCAGAAGTGGCCAATGCTAGCATTATTAGCAAGTAAGCAACTATAGTATAGGAGTTATCAGAACGTAGGATGGGGAAGTTTGGGGGACTGGGAGTGCGGATGGTTTTTTTATACAGGACCATGCTCTCTCACTTTCTTAACTTACTCTTGTGTCACCCCCTCATATCTCTGCAAGAATCACAGGAAGAGGTACAGTGCATGATGTTCGTTAAAAATCAGACTAGTTTGTGGAAGCTCCTTCTAATTGCAGTGTCCAGCAGGTATGGCCAGTCGTCCCTTGGCGCAGTACAGTAGAGGGTACTGTATAGTAGATTAACATTGCTTCTGTTCATTCGCCTGATTAATCAGTGCTTTTGGTGCCATTAAACAGCCAACTTTAGCGACAATCAGATAATTTCCATGCCTGAAGTCCTGTGCGGTTTTGTATTGAATTTGGGCGCTATGATACTTTGCAACTATACTTCTTTTTCCTTTTCCCCCAAGTTTTTTTGCTTTTGTTTTGTTTTCATTTTTGTTTGTTCTTTCTTTTGTATTAACTTTTTTTTTCAATTTGAATCGAACAATTAACACTACACAAGCCTTGGACAGGTAGATATTGTTGCTGATGCACTGATTTAATAAAAATAAATTTAAATTGTCTTTTTATCAATTGTCATTAAAATTAAAAAATGCATTCCACGGAAATCAGTATATGCATATTATAAAAATTAGAGAATTAAATTGAACTGCATGCTTTATTTTTAAAAAAGGCCTTAAATGCAGTGAATGAACTACAGGAACTTTGGAATTGAATTTTGGTGCATGTGTTGTGAAACTAACCTCTAGCTGTACACCAAAGTACAGGTGACAGCAGAATGTTTTGGTGCTGATGTCACTTAACCATGATTCTTAATGACAAGCTGATTGTAAACTGTCTGCAGAGGTGACAAATGCAGGCTCCTGTTTGTAATCATAACAAGGACAATTGGTAATTCACGAATGAATCAAGTCTGGTGCATTAAATAAGGAGTAAACGAAATGAACGAAGAATGCTTTATACCACAAAAAAAACCGAAAAAAGGAACAAATCCGTGACCAGTCAATAAATAGACACTGGAAGGTCCCACTTGTTGGGCATAGGCAGAAGGAGGTAGGTTGCAGGGCAGCGGGCTAGGTGTGAGTTGAGCCTGCTTCCTGGCCTGTGACGGTGAGTGTGAGCAGTTATGTTTCTGTTGTTTTTCTCTTGCTTGGTTGGGCCCGCTGAGAGTGAGTGTCTCTGACTGAGTCTGATACACTCGGAGCTGTGACCTCCGCTCACACTCTCTTCTGAGCGCACTCCGCCGGAAGGTTTGTCCACACCCTTTACTCCTCTCTCTCTCTCTGTGTCCAGCTTCCTGTCCGTAGCGGCTGGTTGCATGTTTATATTGATATATATGCTTGTATCAGACAAACCAACCGTTCTTAAAGGAAACAAAACTCATACCAACTCT